TTTTGGTTTTTTGGGGTTTTGTTTTCTTTTTTAGAGAGAGAGAATGCATGAGCAGGGTAGAGAGGGAGAGAGGAAGAGAGAGAGAAAGCGAGAGAGAGAGAGAAAGAGAGAGAGAAAGAATCTTAAGTAGGCTCCATGTTCAGCATGGAGTCCAACGCAGGGCTCAGTGTCACAACCAACTCAGGTCATGATCTTGAGCCAAAATCAAGAGTCAGACATACCCAATGGACTGGCCACCCAGTCCATATGCCCCTGCACTGCATATGTTTAGACTAAATGTAATAGGTGTTTTCAGTTGTCCCACATTTTCTCCTATATGTCCATCCTGCCCTCCTTCCTTTAATTTCCTCTGGGACTCTTTGAGGAGTAGATCCCATTTGTAAGCAGATATGAGTTATAGAAACTCAAGGGTAGCCAGTTAAACAGATGCCTAGTCAGCCATGAAACCTATTCACCAGGCCAGAAGAGTGCAGGCTTGTTACTAGTACTGCCACAAGTGAGGCTGGGGAAGGTAGAGCCTCACCAGAGTGAGATAAACTGTGGAGAGTTTATTATTGAAAGGAGTGAAGAATGAATGTTGGGAAACTATTGGCAATATCTGCCATAAGTATATACAAACACACAGGGAATGGAGCCATGTGATCTTGCTTTGAATAAAAGAAATGGGAGCAGAAGTGATACATGTACCTTTCAATTCAAGTCTTTAAAGAGAATGAGCATGCCTTCTCCTCCTTTTTTCTTCTTCCCTATTAGCAAAAGTCAGCATGATGGCTGGAGCTGGAAATTATACTGGACCATGAGATGAAAAGGGTATGTTGAGGATATCAGAACCACAAGCTAAGAGGCTCTGAGACATACGGGACCTAGTTAGAGTTCCCCTGGAGAACTTCTCTATACTTCCTTTTCCTGAGAAATGGGTGCCAAACATGTTCAGGGTGAGTCTCAGGCACTGCTCATCATGGAGTCCCAGTATAAAGTCAGGAAAAGAGTAATGCCAGTGGTAACAGGTGAAGCCAATGCTACCCTTATCTGCAAAGCTTTATTTTTCAGAGATTCATGCATCATTTGCAAAATAAAGTGATTTGAAAAATCTACAAGAACTTTTTTTAATTGAAGGGAAGAAGACATTGCAGAGTTGGCCTGACAGACTATGGATATGTAACAGTTAAACGCAGCATCAGTGGCATGTTGCATGTTACAGGCTGAGGTTTGAGGGCACCCACAATGTAGGACAGTGTTCACAACAGAGTGTTTACCAGCTTGGATAAACTTGAATAGATTCTGCTCCACCTCTTCCCAGCTTTGAAACTTTAGGGAAACCTCTGTTTTCCCTAACCCATAGGGCTATTCTGAGGTTTTAATGACACTGTAACTATAAAGTGCTTTATTGTGCCTGGCACATACTGAGTACTCGATTAGTGGCAGCTATTCTTATTTCTAGAACTATATACAACTTGTCCAGATCTGGAGTCTTCTCCTTGCCATTGTCTCAGGCCCATGAGTTTCCTTTCCCCTCCCAATATAGGAAAACTTGACTTAGGCTTGCCACCAAATTCTAACATTGTCATAGGTTTCTTAGTTTAAGAATTCAGCTTCTAAAAAAATAGGTCAGCATCCTGTTTTATGGAAGCCTAAGGATCAAGTTTTTATAAAACAGGTTTACATTTAATGACAAGTACCTGTGCCATGAACATGTCATTGTTAATATTTGTTTCTATGGTGAATTGCACTGAACAAGAAGGTATTCAGATAAATAACCTGATGCCATGGCAGGGGTGGGGGGGGTAATAAAAAATTACTTTTTATTAATTCTTGACTCCAAGTGCCCTTTGCACCTCTTAGCTCACCATTAGATCAGAGTAGTTATTATTATTACTGAAACATAAGGTTAACATTTCCATCATCACTGGGGTTAAAATTTGCATACTTCTGCATAATTCCTGTGCACAGATGCTTGTATCCATCTTTCATCTTGCTGTGCACAATTCATCTGGAATTTCTTAAAACCGGACTATTCATAATAGTCTTGAAAGAACGTCAGGGGGAATGTTGAGTTCAACATTTTAGCAGTATCCTTCACTTAAACAAAAAGCTCCAGAGCCTCTTGAAGACATGAACAGTTTTGACTGAAAAATCTAATATCAACCACATGGGCTAAATGATTGCAGAACTTTTTATTGCATTATAAATCTGCCGGAAACAACAACAAAAAAGGTCATCAATCTCTTCCTTACTTCTTGGCGTTTTGAAATTACCCTCCTTTCCTTCCTTATTTCCCAAACAAAACCAGGGTGTTCAATGTTGTCACAAATTCTATTTGTCAATGATGTTCCTTTGATAAGCTGTTGAAACTTGTAGTCCAGATGAGAAGAAATCACATAAGAACTCAAGCCATTTTTTAAAATCAAGATTGACTAAGGGACTAAATGACTTCCACTTTATAGTGAAATAAAAAGAAATTGGTCAACAGACATTACGTGAAAAGAAGGAAAGACACCACAATAGACCAACTTAAAAGGAAGGACATCTGAATTTGACTAAGTTGATACATTTTCTTCAGCATATGACTCAACTTTGCATTAATCTGGCTTCTTGGTTTCAAGTGACAGAACCCAACCCAAGTGGAAAAAGAACAGGTAAAAGCAGGGTTAGGATGGAGCCACTCATTAGCTGACTCACATAAAAAGTCCAGGGATATATTTGGTTCAGGTGTGTTTGGATGCAGGTACTCAAATGATGTCACCATGAACATCTTTCTCTGCATCCCTCACATCCTTCTTTCTGTGGGCTGACTCTACTCTTGGGCAGGCTCTTCATATCCTGTGCAAAGAGAGTTATCAGCAGTTTCAGCTTATGTCTATCAGCTCAGCAATCTCTTCGGAAAGAGACCTCCACTTTCCTATTGTTTCCATAAGCCCAGTGGTTTTTGGAGAATCCCTGTGGATTTCAAAACCAACTTGGAACCAATAGAAAATGCAAATTGTCCAGACCTAGGGCACATGCATCACACAGCACAGGGACTGAAATTTGGCAGAAGACACTTGCTCAAAGGAAAATTAGGAATTAGGACACTATCACCAAAAAAGCAGGAGATGCATGATAACAGTGGTCAGGCAAAACAGTGCCCTTCTAATTCAACTTGTCTTGGATTTCAAGTACTCCAAAAATTATATAATTTAGAGTTGATGATGTAGAGTTTTTTTACTCTAGATTCAAATCACAACAATTGTAAGAAACTTCTGAAGAAGAGAGGGCTGATTGGAACCCTACATCCATTCTCCATCTCTAACTTTAGTGATGAAACATGCTAACTTGTGACAGGAATATAGATAGCACTCTGCAAAAGACTATTATTTCCGATGCTGCCTATAGCTAAGTGTGGCCATATAACTGTGGTAGTCTGGATTATAGCTTCTGAAGATATCCAGGTCCTAGAACCTTGAACTTGTGAATGTCCCCTTATGTGGAAAAAGACTGCCAGTGTGACTGAGTTAAGGATCTTGAGATGAAGAGACTATTTTGGATTATTCAAGTGGTTCCTAAAGGCAATCACCAGTGTCCTTATAAAACATAGGCAGAGGGAGATTACATACAGAATAGGAGCAGGTGCTATGAGCATGTAGAGATCAGAGTGATGCAGTCACAGCCAAGGAGTCACCAGAACATGGAAGATGCAAGGGAGACTGTCCTCTGGAGCCCCCAGAAGGAGTATAGCCATGGGGACACCTACATTTCAGCCACAGAAACAGAGAACTGTGAGAGTATAAATTTCAGTGGTTTTTAGCTACTAAATTTGTGGTAATGTGTTACAGCAGCCACAGGTAAGTAATATAACTGAGTTCTGGCCAACAAAATATGAGCAGAAAGGGAGGTATCCAGCTTCTAGCTCATGCCCTTTAAGGGAAAGTTGCTTCCCTCCTTTCCCGTCTGTCTCTCCCATCCAGTGGCTGCAATGCCAACATGCTGGTGAGCCATCTTGTGTTGGTGAGCCATCTTGTGTTACCACTCATTATGGGAGTAGAAGGAACATGCCTGGATGGCAGAGCAAAAAGATAGAATGAGCTTGGATCCCCAATATCCACTTTGAAACCCCAATTTAAGAGATAAATAAAACTCTGTCCTGTTTAAACCACTATATTCGGGGTCTCTTATTACAGCTAATCTATAACCTAACAAAATTACCATTTTTGTCTGCCATGAAACTGCACTTTAAAGCCTTCAAACTCCAGGGAGTGTAATTAACTGAAGACCTAGAGGCTACAGTCTGAAATCCACCACCACATTTGCACCCAGCCCTCACTTTTCCCGCAGGCTGCTCCCACAATCTGGGTGTGGTGAGGATACTCAAGCAATTTTATTACTGGGCGATATGGGGCCCTTCTAACAGCCAACTTTGGCTCAAGGACTCCTCAGTGGCTTTGCCAAAGCTCGTGAGACAGCACAGCAGCTCGTGAGACAGCACAGCAATCTAAGATGCTTCCATCAAACTCCCTTCCCCCCTCGCTCTACTTGGGACAGTTTCACCATCCGACTGCATTCCTAGTCTTACCAGTTCCTGCCCCATTCTCCATCCCAGGTGTTTCCCTTAGTTAAATCCTTGCTCATTTAATCCCATCTTGGCAAATGCTTCTCAGACTAATACACAGTCTTTTCTCAAAAGTTCAAGAACAATGAGGTCCTCTGGCAAAGTAAGAAAAAAAATGAGAATCTCTACAAGTAGTAAAAGCATCTTGTTACAAACATGTTAACCCAAAGTAACGGTGAAGTGAAGAAGAGCTGACCATCTTATACTTTACTTTCCTCAAATAACCTCTTACTCACTTTCAAATTCTCTCCTGCAGCTTGGAAATAAATTAGGAGGGCAACAAAATTTTCTCTCAAGATTTGGCAAGCTGCATATTATTGACTATTCCAAATGACTAAATGAAAAGTAAAATTCCATCAATTATCCAATTGCTTTATTTAAATATCAAACATCTGGAGGTTGATGATAAGCAGGTTCAGAATTCAGGATGAATAAATTTTTCATTAATCTTCAGCCTGATTTAACCTAGCATAGACACAATCCATGAGTCCTGAATTTCTGCATATTAGTACATTTTTGTGTTGGTGTGTGTTAATCACTGCTTTCGGATGTACAAATGTCAATACAATGTGAAGTTTTGTGTAGCTCCCCCATCGGGAAGTCATTGTCGTATTCTACTTCAATCTGTTGTCTTCGGCTTTAGTTATAACATATTTCTTTCTGCTTAGTATGTTTGTCTTTTGGACTGTCACACTTTCTTATTCATGTCAGTAGTCCCATAATTATTCCTGGCACATCTGTCTTCATCACACATTTGCTGAGCAGAAACAAATGTGAAAAAGCTGGCATATGCATGCATTAATACTGCAGGAGACTCACGTTTCTTCAACAGATTCTGGCACAGGAGGTGGGAACGTCCCTCCTAGAGTGGTTATTGGAATGAGAAAATAAGTCATTGAGAGGATATCAGGGAAGGAAATGCCTGTTCTTGACAAAGGCCTTGAACACAAAACAGAGCAGATAAAATTGAGAATGATGAGTTCTAATCCTTCCACATGTGGTATATTTACAACCATGACAACTCAGGCAAGACTTTCAGAGGCATGCCTTATTCATTGCTGGGAGAGAGGGTGTGTGTGTGTGTGTGTGTGTGTGTGTGTGTGTTCCTGGGGATAAGAGTTGTGTACTGCTTTTTTGTCTACTATCAGACAAAAAAAACATTCTTTATACTACACTTCTGAAAACAGGTTAGATATCTTCTTTTAAATAATTACAATAGAGAACAGTTACTAACATAGTTCGCACCTAAACATGTGTTTAGGTCTCTAAGGGGTTCTTTGGTTGGTTATATTTATGAGTTTTTTTTTAATTAAAAGAAGACATAATATCTCGTCATGGTAATAAGAAAATATTATTAGAGGGGAGCCTGGGTGGCTCAGTCAGTTAAGCATCTGACTCTTGATTTTGACTCAGGTCATGATCTCACAGTTCCTGAGACTGAGCCCTGAACTGGGCTCTACACTGACAGTATGGAGCCTGCTTGGGACTGTCTCTCTGCCCCTTCTCTCTTTCTCTCTCTCAATAAATAAACATTAAAAAAGAAAATATGATTAGAAAAATAGTGTATTCTTAGAATATTTGTATATTAGTAATAGTCCACTGGGAAGTAGAAAGCATCAATTTTAATTTCTAGATCTGAATTTGCCACAAATAACAATGCAACCTAGGATTATTCACCTAAACTGAGACCCGGCAACCTTATCTATACAAAGGAAAAGGCTGAAGTGTCTCAGAAGTTGAAAACTAGTAGATAATGGGCCAAGTGCTGCCTTAAGATGTTTCCTTTGTCTAGTCGGCATTTTTTTAACTAAATTAGTTGCCTGTCTATAACTCAAGATATTTTGTCAGAAGAAGAAGTACAATCTCTGGTTTCTATTGAAAAATCAAAATCTCATTTTATACTTTCATGTGACAACCATTGGATAAAGCCCATGATCTCCTCGTTTACCTGGCACAATTACTCATGAAGCCTGACTACAGTTGACAGACATTGGAATGGGTGGCTCCTAAACTCCATGATCTAGAAGGGCCTGTCTAATTCTAAATGCCTGTGAGCCCAGAATAACATAACTAAGAGTCTAGAAACAAACCCATATATTTATAGTTCACTGATGTTCAGTAGTATATCAAGACAATTCAATAGGAAAATAATAGTTTTTCAACAAATGTTCCCAGGACAACTTGATATCCACATGCAACAGAATAAAGTTGGCTCCTCCCTCACATCATACATAAAAAACAATTCAAAATGGAAAAAAAAAAATTCTAAATGGATCACAAACCTAGATATAAGAGATAAAACTATAAAAATACTAGAAGAATATAGGATAAAATCTTCATGATCTTAGATTTGACAAGATATGACTCCAAAATCTCAAGTGATAAAAAATAGATGAATTCGAATTCATCAACATTTTTTAAATGTTTGTGCTTCAAAGGATACCATTAAGAATATAAAAGGCAACCTACAGAATGATAGAAAATAATTGTAAATCATATATATGATGAGGGACTCATAAGCAGTATAAGAACAGTTACAAAACAGCAATAAAATAACAAGTAACCCAATAAGAAAATGATAAAGGATCTCAGTAGACATTTATTCAAAGAAGATACACAAATGGCAGACAAGCACACCACAAGATGCTGAACATTGCTAGCCATCAGGGAAATGCAAATGAAAATCACAATGAAATATGACTTCACACCCACTAAGATGTCTGTACTCAAAGAGACAGAGGCTAACAACTGTTGGCAAAGTTATGGAGAAACTGGAACCCTCATATGCTGTTGTCAGGAATGTACCCACTTTGCACCCACTTTGGAAAACAGTCTGGCAGTTCACCAAAAGTTTCAATTCAGAGCTACTACATGACTCAGCAACTCTACTACTAAGGAAATGAAAACACACGTCAACACAAAAACACGCACATGAATGTTCACAGCAGCGATCTTCACTGTTGCCCAAAAGTAGAAACATCCAAATGGCCATCAGTTGATTAATGGATAAACAAAATGTGGTATGTTCCAGAATATTATGTGGTAGTAAAAAAGACATGAAGTCCTGAAACATGCTAAACATGGCTAAATCTTTAGAACAGTGTGCTAAGTGAAAAAAGCCAGAAGCAAAAAAGCCACAGATAACAGGATTCCAATTATATGAAATGTCCAGAACAGATAAAGGCATAGAACAGAAAATTGATTGATGGGTGCCAGGAGCTGGGGTCAGAGGAATAGAGAGTGACAGCTAAGCCATATGGGGTTTCTTTCAGGAGTGATAAAAAATACTGTGTAATGAGACAGTGGTGGTAGTTGTACAGCACTGTGAACATGCTAAAACCCTCTGAACTGTATGCTTTAACAGGATGGATTTTCTGATGTATGAATTACATCTCCATTTGTAAAAGTACATGAGCCTGTGTTGGGATCTAAATTTTCATCTCCATTATCCTGTCAACGTTATCCTTGTCAACATTATCAATATCATCAAATTTCCTTCCCCAGTGAAAGGCTAACCAGTATGAGCAACCCACTGCACTTTAGCAGGAAGCAAAATGAATTATGGCTAATGTTGCAATAAATTTTACTTGTGAAGAAATAAAACTCAAGCTGCTTACTTTTTTTTTTTTAAAGAAAACTTTAAAGACATTTTTTTAAAATGATGTATGTTTACTTTTCTTTTGAAGTTTAACATTTTTTATATTTTCCTCTCCAATAAACATCTGAACGCTATAGGACCACATGAAATATCTCTCCTTTTGTCCACAGGCTGTTTCTGGGCAGGGAAGGCATATACCAGTCAATGACAAATTGATTCATTTAAACTCAAACATCCTATTGCATAATTACCCTTAAGACTGTGAGTTCATGGTCTCTTCTGAATTTCAGATCAGAAATTTGGGACATCTGGGAAATGGACACACTACAGAGACTCATTTCAAGCCACCTTCCCCCCATTCCAGTACTGGAAAATGGCCAGTTGTCTGATAATGGGACTACAACAAAAATCCATTTCCAAATTGAAGGGCAGTATATCAACAAGTTAATTATACCATCCCTATAGCGTTTCTCTTTTGACCAAGCATGAAAGTTAGTGAATTATGTAACAGTATCCAGCCAATCTGGGCAAAATTCAAGCATTAAATGTGAAAACATGTTTGCCCTTAGAAAAGGGTTCACATGGAAATGACCATGAACACAGTTACGAATGCATATATAATGAGAAGTGGGGGGGGTGGAAATATGTTATTTTCTAAGTTGGCTGTTTGAATTGGTTGGACTAGTAGTGTAGATTCTCTTTTTTGGCAGAAACTTTTCCTTTGTTTAGGAAAACACCTTCATGAATCTCCTCCACCCCGGCTTAGATAAGAGATGCAGAAAGAGAAGAATAAAATTGATTTAGGTAATAAAATAAAAACAATTCCTTAAAAAGTAACTTCCCTAATAGTGTTGGGCAAGATGATGCCTTCAGATCCATTCCTCAGCCCTGCTCTATGTACTGAGTTTAACTGTCCTCCATGGATGGCAATAAACAGACTCCCCAACCCACTGGTTCCCGTCGGAACGGCCCATTAATGGGAGGTAATTGCCAAAGACTGGAGAGTGGGAGGAGAGTGAGTACAGGGTGTTTATTCCCCAGGCTCTCTTTATGCTAGGCCTCTGGCTAGCAGATGCTAGGCAACCCGCTGCTACAGGGGCCCTCCCGCTCTGGGTTCCAGAGTCTGCTTCTCTGTCCTGGTCCCTCAGGCCTAAAAGCAGTGACAGCTTCCTGCTCTTCCCAGACACTGAAGTGTTTCAAAATACAGTTACTTCTGCTATAAGCAACATATGTGCTCTTGAAACCATCATCCTATGCAAATTTTTGCAAAAAATACCAAGGTGTTTATGGGAAAATGGGATTCGAGGCACACAAACTGTACCTATGACATCTGAAAAACAGAGGAACCTAATAAAAGTAGCTGACAGTACTACACTAGTTACACAATTAAGAAACACATAAATACAATTAAGTGTTGCATTTTTACCTTGCAAAAGACCTTGGGATTTGCTTGTGGAAGTGCACTTCATAGGGGTGGCAGCTTGTGAACCTTTGCAAAGCCGCAGCAGGAAGTTTATCTGAAATGCAAAAGAAAGTCGTCTCACTGGGTGGGGATGGTATGGCTGTAACACTGTGGTGAACTGAGGTGGGTGGGGTTGTTTGGGGAGGGGGCGTGTGTCTTACGTATTTCTACAGTGTTTGGTTCAACTGGGTGCAGATTTCTGTGTTCACCAAATGCTTTTCATGGATCACATCACGCATAAACCAATGCAAAACGATGCCCGCAGATTTACGCTCAGGTCATAATCTCACGGTTGGTGAGTTCAAGCCCCACATCAGTCTCTCAGCCGTCAGCATAGAGCCCACTTTGGATCCTCAATCCCTTTCTCTCTCTCTCTCAGCCCATCCCACACTCATGCTCTCTCTGTCTCTCTCAAAAAAATAAATAAACATTATAAAAAAAGAACACTACGTCCAAATTGTTCCAGGAGATATCAATGGCATTGGAACAAATCAGTGTTTTCAAAACAAGTGTTATAACAGAACTGATTGTACATAGTGTTTTTCCTTTCATTTAGTCGATGACTTTATCAATAACATTTGAGTATGTTCTGTTTCCTGTCAAAATACTTAGAGAATTGGGGCAGTCTAGAGACAAGAGCCTCCAAACAGCCTATAAGAAATTCCTATTGAAAGAAGTTGCCAAGAAACTTTGAAGGAGATGGCGTGTCTTAATAAAATTCTAGTTACCTAATGTTCTATACTGTCTCACAGTCCCTGCCAGTGTCTGGCTTGCCCTGTTCCATGCAGCAGCTCTGCGTTGGTGGGGATTTGGGAAATGAAAGGGGGAAAAGTGATACACAGAACATGAAATGGGCAGAAAGGAGACCAATGGTCACAACTGCGGAGAAAAAACAGCTGAGACACAAGCCGCTTTCCCCAAAATCAACCAGAGAAAGATCACCTTCGAAAGGCACCAGGCAGTCCATGTTCTGCTAGTAAGTCTGTAGCTTTGTTAAGGACCTTCCCGATGATTGAGAATTGGACTCCACCTAAAAGGAAAACGAATACAGCTTTTACTTCCACATTTTCCACCAAGAAAAGCCTTTCAACACTATTTTCTATTCCAAAGGCACTTGTTCTGCAAGCAACACATATTTAGCAGTGAAAATACTCAAATTTCTTCTCTCTGCAACAAGTCCTTTTATTTATTTTTTTTTACCTGAGTCAGAACATAAATATAACCTAGGCTTTGCCCAACAATATTATATTAGCCATAGAAACATGCCCACATGAAGGGATCATTAATCCTCAAAAAAGCCTTGACAGAATTGGATGAAAGCGGAAATGTATTTTCACAGATGGTCGTGCTATGCTGTATTTGATTTGAAAAATATTAAACAAAGCAATAACCCATTTCTGTTTTATTCCCTGAAAGCTATTATTATATGAAAAGGTAGACACACAGGACACAGTTAACAAACAAAGACTAAAAAGATGTCATCAGCTTAGAAATGTTCTGGAAAACAAATGAGAGCCACTCGCCAATAATATGACTGTAAAATACAGAAATAAAAAATCTATATTGTGAACATACACGTACTTACAGCCCACATCACAGTTTGATGAAGCAAGAGATAAATGACCCAACATTGATTGTTTTTACAGGAATATGACAATCCTCCAAAGAAGAGAAACAGAACATCTCTCTATTCACATAAAAAGCAAATTACAGATGGGGAAAAAAATTCACTACTCTGAGAACAAGATTCAATTAAAAAAATATGTCTGGCTTTGACAGGGCAAATTCCAGGCGTAGTGTATTTTCATACAAGTTGATCCTAGAGGAAAGATTTCAGTGCTACAAAGGCCTGTGGAACTTTTCACGGCTTGTTATAATTTCCCTGTAATTCTAAACATGGATTTCCGCCTTCTGAGCTCTTATTTTTCCCCTAACTGATTCTGCAAGGTGGTATTATGCTTCCGACAGTGTTCTTCCTTTCTGAAAATCACACAGCATAATAGCTGCATGGTAGATTCTGAATAATAATTAATGCTGTCTTATAGCAGCAATATAACATACAGTGCTTTACCAAGGAGTGTGTGTTTGTCTGTGTGTGCGCGCGCGTGTGTGTGTGTGTGTGTGTGTGTGAGAGAGAGAGAGAGAGAGAGAGAGAGACAATATACATGGTTAAATGGCAGGATGAAACCACAGAAAAGTCCAGAGGCAGCTTGTCATGTCTCACACAATGCTTCAAGAACAGCACAAATAGCATTATTTAAATAGAACACAACTCCAACTCTGGGACATCCATTTGCATCTTCAGAAAATTAGGCTATTAGCTATTGTCTTTCGGTTGTTCAAATGTTGAAGCCAACACAGAGAACCGCTGCCAAAAGTTACAGGACTTTTGAGCCAAAACTTCTGCACACATTCCCTCTGGCTTGTCACCTTTCATCCACTTTGTACAGAGTATCATTAAGAATTTCTAGACATCAAGTTCTGGATCTTGTTACAATGCTCAGAATGGCTCTCAGTGGATGGGATAAGAACTCCAGTAGTCAGGCTTGAATTGTGTGAATAAATACACCCATTTGGGTTATCAAGCTGTTCCATTTGTCTTATCATTTCATTCTTCAGTTGACACCGTGACCCTTGGAAAGCCAAGTAAGGTGTTTCTTCAGTTCTCTACCCCCAACCTCAGGGCAGTGTGGCCTTTATTCTCTGTCCCCTATTGCCCTTTGGAGATAATTGCCTACACTGTGGTACCTATATTACATATGTTTCAACCTGTTCTCCAAACATTAACTGTTTGGGATTAAAATAGTTCCTTCGAAGCTTTTAGCTTTTGCAGCCTTTCCTTGAACTCCTGCCAATGTATGGCTCTCCACAGAAAGGAAAATGCTGAGCATTAAAACCGAAATGAGGATTAGTCAGAGCAGATAATAAATAGCACACTACTGCATGTGGCGGGACCAGAAGGAAAAGAAGAGAGAAAAACAACTTGTTTGTATTTTAATGATTTAACCATGACAACCGTTTGAGGCTCTGGTAAAGGTAACAGGGATATAGGCCTATGTCAAGAAGTAAGGAACGACTGAAGAGAGGCTATACTATAGCAATTGCATGAGACCATCAGTACTGGTTGTGTGCAGCCAGACTCAGAGCCCATTCAAGTACTCCTGCAAGGCATTACTTTCAATGTAAATATTGACCAGAGTAACAGATGATGTAATGAATCATGACAATGATAACGCTAGGAGATGGGATGATGTCTGCGGGATCCAGTCCTCCTAACATTATGCTGATGAAGAGGCACGGCCAATTCTATCCAGACCTTTGTCAGAGACTCTGCAGGCTGGGTGGAGGGTGGCCTGGATGCTACTTGGGAAGGGAGAATCACAACAGTAGTAGAATCACAAAGAGCACCACCACAAGGAATTTAATCTAACAAAGAGCGAAAAACCCTGAATGAAGGTGACGTACTATTTTCACCTCCATGTTAGAGATGACAAAATCAAGGCAGAGAGGCTAAGCAACTTGCCAGAGGACATACAGTTGACAGATGGGGGAGCAAAGAATTCAGCGACAGCAGTGTAGGTCCTGAGAAACGCCATGCCACCCCCGACCTCCCTGTAGGAGCAGGCTGGGAGTGTCGTGGCCTTCATGCCACATACCGTGGCAGGAAGAAGCACTTAGCCAATCACTCATGCATTCCTTCAGACATTCAACAAACACATAATGTACACCTACTACGTGCCTGGCATTACTGCTAGAGACAGGGATTTCATGCTAAACAAACAGATGAGTTCCCTGCTCTTTTGGAATTTAGTCTAGCTGGGGAGATGAGTGGAGAAGTCCAGGCTGCTTACAGAGCTTAGAGGAAAACAGACTAAAATGGATGTGTAAGTTTAACATGCCTCAGAAGTGCCAAGATGGCTTACTAAAACACAGATTTCCGTACCTCATCCCCATAGTTTTTCATTCATTTGGTCTGTGTTTAAGCCCAAGAATTTATATTTCTAACAAGTACTACAGCTGGTAACTGCTGACTTAGGAGCTATACTTGAGACCACCACTCTAAGGGTTATTTGGTTGGGAGAGAAATATTCCTTTGTGTTGTATTGTGCCTCTTTTGTAAATGAGCCTGTGCTTATGAATAATAGTCACTGACTATATAGATACAACTTGACGCCTGCCAGGAATTTTCTCTCACCCTCCCTTAAAATGTGGACAGGTTCCCTAAGATGGGTAACACACCCAGCCACCAACAGCTATTCACACATGGGATCTGAGAAAATGAGACATAGATTCAGTTGCTTCTGATACCAGAGAATTAAAGAAAAAGTAAAATAGGAGGCCACAGAGTGACATCTTGAGCTCATTATTAATGAATAGGGAGGCAACATTTAAGATAGTGGCCCTATAAAGGCACGGGGTCCTTAAGGAAAGAGCACTACTGCAGGAAATTTTTACCCATCAATCCATGAAACACATTCCATCCTCACAGATAATGATATGATATCATTTAATTGACATGATGATTAAAATTGCTTCCAATTGCATAAATCTGGTTTTAACACATCTTTTTAAAAAGCCCGAGTATTTCTGTTCTGTAAAAGGGGTTTTTTCTAGATTCACAGCCTTCTTGTCTATTGGAAATACCCATGGCAAGAGCAGAAAAAGTACTGGGAAAAGGCCATTTTTTTTCAAAACCATAGGTAGATACAAAGGACAGCATTATCTGTAAGCAAATTATGGTGTGTGTGTGTGTGTGTGTGTGTGTGTGTGTAGTGCTATATATATTTACAACTTCTTTTCAAAAGAGAGTTAATAGGTTAATACTATAGGACAGGAGGGCTTCCAATGCAGAATGGCGGACCAACCACTGACATTTGGCTGACCTTCTTTCCACATTAAATAGAATGAATTTCTAAAGTGGAGAATGCCATGTTATTGTGCTCTGCAAATAGCCTTATGCTAAAGCCACAGAGCAGAATAACTAGTTGCATAAATAAATATCCCACCTTAAAGACAAAAACAAGTCATATGGAAAGTCCTTTAAGACTTGGGTATCTGTAATATTAGCATCTGGTTACCCATTGTTTGTGCTGGCCAGGGAATTATAAGCTAACTAGTTCTGTCAGTCTCTGAGTTTCTAAGACGACAGCTCACAGGCCGAATCTGACCCAGAGATGTGATTTGTTTAACTTGTGCATTTTGCTCCTAGTGGCTGTGCCCTTAAAAGTTGACCATGGATGGCTGAAATGGAACACTTGCTCTCTTCTGCACCCTTGCCTGTCACTGTACAGTATCTTTGGCCTGGACTGGCTGACACCTTTAGGTTACAGGCAAATCCCCTGAAGAGGCTTGACTGTTTTGACCCCTGCTGTATAATTTACAAAATCGCCCTTCAACTCCAGCTCTAACTTCCTGTTATTTCCAACTACCTCATATTTTATTCATTTCATCAGTGGAAGGATAGGTTTTCCCATAAGAATTTTAATTGTTCCTAGATTGGTGATATAATACTATATAAAACTTAGGGAGGAAGTTAAGTTTCTCAGTAAAAGGACAGAATTACCTTGTTGTATGATTCAGGCCATGGTTGAGATTGTTGATCTGTTTTAGATTGGCTTGGAAGTTTTGAGATGATTAAATGAAATGTCAGGACTGGGAAGTGTCTTGATTTTTAGCAAAATGGCCATATCACCACCGGACATGAATCAGCCTAGAAAATACATTGAGTTTTAGGAGGTTCAGAGTGGGCTTAAAAAAAAAAAAAAAAAAAAAAAAAAACTGAAAAGACTGAGAGAATGTGAAATGCCCCAAGGCATGTTCATTTTTATTCTGTAATGAATAGGAAATATACTGCAGTAAAAGCAGCATTAATGATTCAAAAACAGCTGGAGATACTGAGACAGAAATTAATCCTACTTACCTAGCTCTTAAAACTAGTAAAACGGCAAGGTGGGGTTGAAAACTGATACCTGAAGCAAAATGGAATGCTGGAGTTAAGCACCTGTGACCAGTAGTTTGTAGGCCAG